CCCCCCCCTAAATGAGAATGAGAATGAGATGAAGATGCATCATTGTTGGTGTTTATCTAGCTTTGATTTCTTTTGAGTACAGTTATCAGTTGTTGCCTTTAAGAGTTGTTCACATGTCTGACGTTTCTCGGCTCATTTGTTTTGTAATAATTTGTTCATCGCAGTGGGTTTTGTCATCAAAAGAAATAAACTTCCCGTATCCTCTTGCACTGACGCTACTTCACATGGTCTTCTCCTCAGTACTATGTTTTGTGCTTACCAAAGTTCTCAAGGTAAAAAGTGTTCTCCTTTTTACTGATTTGTTGGGCAACTAGTAGTGCTAATTTAGGCATTTCTATGCAGATAATGAAGGTTGAGGAAGGAATGACTCTAGACATGTGAGTGCTCTTGTGAAGAAATATCATGTTTAATGTTTTGGATAGAGAGTTGTATATCCAAGGACCTTATTATCTTTTATGACTTTTCTTCACGAAAGAAAGCTTGTTTAGTTAGATTTTGTCCTATCAAATTCTATGTAAATCTCTGCCTTCTGTTGTCTCCTTCTCTTTTCCTTTTTCTGGCTGCTTTTAGTGCAATCCATATCTCTTCCGTTGCTTTGGCTCGCCTGCCTTAGTAGCTGGGTAAGCCACGGGAGCATTTAGCTGGTCATTTAATTGCGAACTGTTTAGAGATGTTCACTTTTTTGAAGAATTATGCCATGTATTACACAAGTTGCAGATATACTTCTCCGTAAAACTATATTTTTATTGTCATTCCTAAAATGATGAAAGGAATTTGTCGCCATCAGCATTTTCCTCCATTATGTGACAGAACACCACATTATTTTTATTGTCATCTTTATAATTATGCTAAATCAGATATCTATTTTAGAATAAGATGGATTAGTTCGGATAACTTACTTAAATAGGTTGCACTGCATTGTTATCAATAACGAAGTGTTTATGAACAAGATTAAGAAAAAAATTACAATAACCTTTCTTCCTTACCTATTAGTATAAAGTAGAAAATATCTCAATTTTAGCATATCTTTCGCATTCGTACTCAAAATCCATACAATATTAGTAGACAATAGTTTGTTACGGTACTTTTTTTTTTTTCCTTCTCAGCTTTTGTCCATTAGACTTTTTTGAAGACTATCATTCTATGCACCTAATTAGGATTTCAATATGCAGATACATTAGCTCAGTCATCCCAATTGGTGCTATGTTTGCTATGACACTTTGGCTTGGGAACACTGCTTACCTTTATATTTCTGTTTCATTTGCTCAGATGTTGAAAGCAATCAGTAAGTATTTGTATTATCCAGCTGTCTTATGTTCTGTAGTTCTTGAATGTTAGAGGTATTTAAAGCTTCACTATAGACATATGCTAAATGAAATGTCTGAGGATGTTTCATGCCAGCTGTTTAGACTTTAGACGCTGGGCTGGTGGACGGCCTGCTCAAGTACTCTATAATCTTTGTTTATTTGTGTCAGAATATGATTTCACGTTTTTGAGTCTCATCTGCAGTGCCAGTAGCTGTCTTCATCCTTGGAGTTGCAGCTGGACTCGAAGTGATGAGCTGCAGGATGCTTCTCATAATGTCTGTAATCAGCTTTGGTGTACTAGTAGCTTCTTATGGAGAAATAAACATTAACTGGGTTGGTGTCATCTACCAAATGGGAGGGGTTGTTGGAGAAGCTTTGAGACTTATATTTATGGAGATTCTGGTAAAACGGAAGGGCCTCAAGCTAAACCCCATATCTGTCATGTACTATGTTAGCCCATGCAGGCAAGTACCTTTATCGTCTGAAAGCTGGAATAATATTATGTTTTGTTTTAACGTTATAGAAAGACAATGTGAACGAAACTGTCTTGTTACACATGCAGTGCTCTTTGCCTTTTAGTTCCATGGATCTTCTTGGAGAAACCAAAGATGGATGAACAACTGACATGGAGCTTTCATCCTCTTGTTCTAACTCTAAATTGCATATGTACCTTTGCGCTGAATCTCTCTGTTTTCCTGGTGATCTCACATACAAGTGCCCTGACCATCCGTGTCGCTGGAGTTGTCAAAGATTGGGTGGTTGTACTGCTATCTGCACTACTTTTTGTTGATACGAAGCTGACACTTATTAATCTTTGTGGTTATGCTATTGGTAATTTTCTTACAATCTTATCTGATCCGAGAAACATTGTGCCTTAACTATTCAAATTGTTTCCGGACACTTTCCTTACATTCATTCTACATTATCGAGACATGCTGTTATGCAGAATATTCATCATCTTCTTCTTGCTTTAGCTCATTTTCAGTGCCTGCGTAGCTGGTTAATCCGTTTGCTTTATCTCTAAGGATTTGTGTAACTATTTTCAATGGACTATCCTTTTGCTGTATTGAACCTGCTGCTAGTCCTGGAGAAATATCTTTCTGTATTCTATTTGACCTTGAGCAACTGCTTTTATTTTTCCAATGTTGGCGGTGATATAATTGTAACCTCTATGTTAGAGCCAGCCTGTAGACTGATAGAAAGTGATGGTTATGGACCTTGGTAATGGCCTTATTTTTCTTGATGATTACATTGAAGGGAAGCTAGTACTGATAAATACTGCCAGCAGCTTTATGTTGATTGAGAATTTATTTTGTGTTTTTTTCTCAAAAACGATTGTTAGACTTGGAGTAATCCGAATCTTGTTCGTTCTGTGTCTATGATGAAAAATATAAACATCGATGGTACTATTTCTTGAGCACATTACATAGTAAAGTTGATTTCTGTGCAGCTATTGCAGGTGTAGCTGCATATAACAGTCACAAGTTAAAAAAGGAAGCTTCCCGAGTAATCTCAGATGAGTCTCGAGATGCTCTACCTTTAATTTCATCTTCAACGTCCAATGAGTAGATCTATGTGAAGAGCTACTTGCAGTCTATTCTGAGGTCTTGAATGTAAAGGAGCAGAGAAGTATGCAAATTCCACTATGTTTTCTTTCTTTTTTTGGGAGGAGGGGTTTGTTCATTCTTAAATGATGCATTATTTGAGTACTGCTTCAGTATTGTTTGTTTTAGAAGAAGCTACAGTCAAACATGGTGATGTTCAAGTCAGGAACTCGTCTACGGGTGCAACGTTCTCTACTGCTTCTGAGTTCGAGACATCAGGGCACAAAAAGAGAAACAGTTACAGTGACGTATAAGGTAGAGGATCCAACCTTTTCTTTTAAATGCAAAAAGGTTGGACAAACACCTCTCTTTGATAAAGAGGTTGGACACAGATATTCTTTCGGTTGGACATGGACATCCATAAGTGCTGCAGTTGATATGCTAAAACAGATTCCAGATGATTTATTGCAGCAGTACATTGTATATTTTGTATTAAATTACTTTCAAATGTAAATCTGTTGGGAGGAATTGAGTTGTTCTTAAGACAATCTTCTTTGTAAGGCTAATTGTTTTTGCTTGACATCAGAGTTGTGACAATATTAATGCTTGCTGTTTCCTCAAGTTGTTTTTAATCTTTTATCGTTCTTGTTACAAAGGAGTGAAAGGGTCAGTTTCAAAATCTGATGTTCTTGACAAGTTTCTTCCTTCGTAATCTGATGTTCTTCGCCAATTTCTTTTTCATCTTCTGCTCAAGCTTCATCTGAAGCTTAGACTCCAATGGCAGGTTATCAACAGGCACACTTTCTTCATCACTCTCCTTATTATCAGAACCTGTGCTATCAATATCAGTAGCTGCTTTAAAACGAAAATTCTCACCTACTGACCTAAAATCCAAACTGACAATAAAATGTTGGGGGGG